ACCACACCTACACCATCACCATCTACCTCATTGTAATGTATTTATTGTACGTCTCCAGTCATTGTTTACACGTCTGTATTGTTTACATTCAAACTGTCTGCATGTTTTCTTGCACATTGTCTATTGTTTGTTTGTACATTGTCTTGATGCACTGTTTGCACTTTGTTTTGTTTTTTACACTTGTTTTACAATCGAGAGACTTTCTGTATGTAAGAATTCCATTGTACCAGTACCGGTTACATATGGCAATAAAGTTCAAGTTCAAGTTCAAGTAAAGCAGATGCAAGAAATTATTTATTTTTATTTGGACTACTGAGTTATTCATGAAATATTTCATAGTTGTACCTATGATGATCTCAGATTTAAGATTTACCCTCTAAGAATGTAGAAGTAATTTTTAAAAAATCAGTTTCAAACATTTTAAAGATATAAAAAACATTGTGAGGATATAGAGTTATAATTTTCCTGAAATATTGCTTTCTTTAATATCGTGTAACGTGTTTATCATAACATCTCCTTGAGACTATCATTTTGTATACAGTATATGTATGGAGCAGGATCAGTTTGTTTTTAAACTTTTTAAATTATTTTTTGTTATAATAATATAGATGGCATTCTGACAAGCCATTGTGAATAGATTGAAGTGTTTTTATTGACACAGATAGATGTTCTGTATCTATTTAAAAAAACATCAAAGCAAAACCAGCTTTATTTTAATTTATTTAAAGTGCCTCCAGATATTCAGTCAAAACAACTTACAAACATCATAATGACACAATGGAACAAACACAGAAAACACAACTTTGCAACATTAAAAATTGCACAAACAATATTGTAAGTGAAAATATAAACATAAAATGAAAGTGCAGATTAACCTTTAGACCACTGGTTGGACTTGCAACCTATATTATTTTGTGATTAACATTTACTGTATGTTGTGTGATAACCTTACCTATGATAAGTAATAGTTTCCCTTAGGGAATTCACTGAAATCTGTTGAGCTATTCGCTGTAATACCCTTCTCTTAAGGGTAATACTCTTCAATTCAAGAACCTCTTAAGGGAGGAACAATTTCAGTCAAGAAGGTTTATGAAACTGTCTGCTGGAGGTACCAGTGATAATAAAAAACTGATAATCTCATCAGGTGTGGAAGTGATAGAAACAGCTTTGTGAAGCCTGGTTGCCACATAGCCCTACTGTCAGTCACAGTACTGTATTTCTAAAATACTTTATCTTCGTAGACAGGAGGTCTTTGTTGAACAGCACATCTTGCTACTTGACAGGCAAGGTACCTTCTCCACTCTGGACAGGTAGAGTAAAGGCTGAGTGCTGCTACTCAGATTGACAAAGGAGAAGGAGATGGGGTGGATGTAGCACTTAAATAGGTAAGTGTGATAATATTGCTGGAAAGGAAAGAGGGTGACTGGCGGAAGATAATTAAACACTATAATAGCCAGAATAGAAAGAACAATCTTGAAGGCCTTCTTCTTCATGGGGTGCATCTCATCTTTCCCTGGTCCAGATCGCTTCAGTGCCCACAGGATGGAGATGTTACAGAAGACCATGAACATGAAGGCAGTGAGGATGCCGAAGGTGAATATTTTGTCAAAATTTGGAATTCCACCTATAGCCTTGCCAGTAGCGTAGAGAACAGTAATGGCCATCACCACCACCGAGCAGGCTGCTCTGTATTTGTGATCTTTGAGGCCTGTGAAAGTGATGGGATGCAGCACTGCTACATACCGGTCTAAACAGATACAGGAGAGAAACAGGGGACCTCCCATGTCTTTTAAACCATAAGTAAACTGCTGTGCACGCCAGGCATTTTTGTTGTTAAGGAGAAACACATTAACCAGGTCAAGAGGGGCCATACAGCCAAAGAAAGTATCCATAACAGCGAGGTGAAATATGAAGATGTCTGAAGTGGAAGATTCACCTGTTCTTGTTAGCAATAGAGACAGAACCATCACATTGGCTGGTATACCCAGAATGACATTGACTATCTGTATACTTAGCGCAACCAGAATACCAGAGAGCTGCTCTTCACATCCTTCAAATGGAGACCACAGCTTCTCTGTGTTGTTGGACATGTTGTAGTTCAGGGGAAGGTTTGCGTTTGCTTGGAGGACATCCATCGTGGTCTATAGAGAAAAAACACCAGATGGTTTTATTTGAAAATAAATTGATGTAACATGGATGACAGGCTTCAATTTAAATGCAGGAAATAAAAGTAGGATTTCGAGAGGATTGTGTTTCATTTTTGTAAAAAGCCAGTATTGCTTGTTAGTTTCAGAGAAGCATTTTCTGAGTCTAAACAACATAATACTTAATTGTTAATTCACTGATTTTTCCGTGAAGCAAAGTCTAATTTTAAGTCAGCAAAGGCTTTAGTTGCCTTCAGCCAAATCAGTCATGCACACAATCACACTAGGGTCACATTTCTCATAAGCCAATTAACAGTCCTTTGTGGACTGTCAGAGGAAACCCACACAACCATGGGGAGAACATACACACTCCAGGTCTGGAATTGAACCTAGATCCCAGAGCTGTGAAGCAGCAATGCTAACCACTGTTGCTGCTCACCACAGAGTTATATAATATATTTTCTCAGATGTAATCTTTCTGTATGTATTCTTATTTGCGTATCACCAGGTTTTAAAGGCCTCACTAGCAAGTGTTAAAGCTAGTCGAGTCTAGTGTGTACTTCTGTAACTCTAAAAGCGTAGCTGAACAGTTTCTTTACACTTGTATTTTATGTGCAAAATCTGAATGGATTGGATGAATGCAGTCAACATTATTATCCACCCCTACAGTACATCATCGGGCAGCCACTTACTAGAGAAGGTCACAGTAATGCACAGGCTATTGAGGAAACAGTGTAAAATGCAGGACTGCAGCTTGTATCATAGGCATACAGAGGGCCATTGTCAGAAAATGTTTAATAAGTTCCTCATTAAAGTTGAATTCTCACATTGTGCCTCACATTCAAGATAATGTGCCTGATTGGAATGAGAACTGGTGTATGGATTCGAGAAAATGATGGTTGGTTAGAAATCAGTACTGATGTTCAAATTGGAGGTGATTTAATTAGCAGGTTACTACAGGAGTCTGTGCTAGACCTACTGTTCCTTTTATTTCTTTATCAATTATCTCGACTCCAGTAAAGTTAAGAAAGTAGTCATGTTTGCAGAAGATACGACTTCAGGATATAGAAGAGACAAAAAAATTAAATATACTGTATTTAGATACGAGACAGGTGAGATGCTTAAACACATTTCAAATGACATTTACTGTTCTGAAGGGCAGAGTGTTACAGGCTGGCATCAAAAATATCAACCTTAGATATATGATGGAAAACACTGAGCTTGAAGAGTGTGCAGAAACAAAAAAAGTACAACAGAATTTACAGTAGAGGTACATCATAGAATTTAAATTAGGAGGATGTTATATCAAAACTGTACAGTGAACTATTTAGAAGACCTCATTTAGAATGATCCAATCCAGTGTTGTAGAGGAGCTGGATCTTGTTCTGGCAAGCAGTGGGCACAAGGCAGGCAGAACAAATCCTGGATGGACATCACACACACAGCTTTTACAGAACCCATTTAACCTACCAGTATGTCATTGGACTGTGGGAAGAAACCCATGCAAAAATGGGGAGAACATACAAGTTCCACACAGTTAGCATCCCAGAAAAAAAGAACCCAGGGTTCTGAAATTGTGAGTCAGCAATTCTCACCACTGTGTCCCACTTTATACTGTAGATAACCATTTAAATGTCAAAGGTTATTCCCCTTCTTTTTTTAGGATTTCACTTTTCTCGGCCATTTTAATGGAGTATTCACTCTCAAAATCTCCAATATTTCTTTATTTAACTATATTATACTGTATGTTTTAATAGTTTATTATTTTTATCTTTTTATTATTGTGACAATATTTAATTAAGTTATCAATCTAATACTCTTTTATTGTTTGGGAAAACACTAATATCATAAGGATTTCTTCAACAAATTATGGCCAACAGTATGGTATGGTACTGATATCTAATTAAACTTCCTCAGTTTGCTTAAACCTTATTAAATTAATGCATATTATGCGCAGGATTGCAGATTTATGTTAGGTTATATACAGTACACTAACTCTCTGATTAATGTATTTATTCATGACATTTTATTTAGAAGATCTCAATTCAAAGCTGTAGATAAAGAAAAAAAATATGGTGGGTCAGACGGACTAGTGATCCTTGTTTTTGTACAAGCTTTAATTCAGTTTTCAATCCCAGGTTTTTTCCTGAATTACTCCCGTGTCTTTTAGGTTTCATTCCAGCATATTGTAACTGTAATTCAATTAAGATGATCTTAGTCTTAAACCACCTAATTTTTGTTTCTCTGTGTCTTTATGATCGAACCTGATTGTTAATCCCTTAATGATGAGGACTCACAGGAAGTTATCACACAGTCAAAAACAATCATAAAGCACTGGTTTACATTTGTAACTAAAGTGGTTGGAATTGAGAAATTCCAGTTTAAGATTTTTATATATTATTATTATTATTATTATTATTCAATATCCAAGACTGAATTCTAGTTTTATCTTATAAATACAGTACATGTATTGAATTTTTTACTATTACTCTGCTTCATCTAATACCCTTCAAAAAGATTTGTTATTCTCCAGCCTTACATCGTTGAAAGATTTAAAAAATATTATAGATTAATTTGTTGTTTTAATGAGCATCTTTCAGTGTATTTTTATATCCTTCTTGTTGTCTTCATGTTGGTATTTCCTTGCCCTTTTCAATGAGATCTAGCTCTAAGAGCAGACCTTGATCCCAATGAGACTTGACAAAAACAATTAAGCAATATGACAATAAGACTTGGTTAAATAAAATAACTGGATGTTAGAAATTTCAATAACTTCTGCTACATGATTGAAAGCATATTGATTTGGTTAGAAACGAGTAACAATTATTCTGCCTGTGTCTTTCAGACCAGAATTCAGACCTCAGTGTTGTCATATTATTGCAGCCAGTCTAACCCCAATACAGTTAGAGTACTGTCAATGATCCCATGAGTCAATATTTCAGTATTGTATTGTGTTTAGTGTTGTTGTAACTACAATGTCATAATAGCTGTTGTAACTGTAAATTAATATCCCACAACATACTGCATACTGGGAATGGAGTGTACTTTAGAGCACCACTTTGGAAAAGTTATTGTGATGGATTTTCATATTGAGGAATTAAGAAGAAGATACAATTGTAATAAAGATCTAAACTGTTATGTCAAGTGGGGATGGAACTTATTAAAACAGCAAATGATTAATTAACATATTTTGTCATTCATTATGTTAGTTAACATTTTCTGATAATGTTCAGATTCATGTTCAGATAATGTGGAAATGAATACCAAAAAAAGGCTTTAAAAATGTTTGGTGAAAATTCTAAATCCCCACTCTCTAGTGGAAAAGCATTTTGACAGCAGTTTCAAGTTTCAAATTAAGCTACTTCTTTAAAATCCTGACATTGTTCGATCTCAATTCACATTTTAAGGACATAGGTTTCTTAAAGGGTTTAGTGATGTTTCCAGGATTTTGTAAAACTTTTGTTTTAATTTCAGAAAATAAACAGCAAGTGTTCTATAATATCTATTTCAAACTATTTCTTTGCTAGGTCCTTGTCTTTTTATTACAGAAAACCAAACCCTTGGAAAAAAAAATAAAATATTGTACCATGCATTGATCTATAGACTAAATTATTTAGAAACGCTTAGGATGAGTTGTTTCTTGTACAATATTTGTAATTTCAGCAAAAGCAGTGCAAACATGCAATGATCTTACCAAAGCCACAGACATGTCTTCAATCAGCTTGTGCTGTTTGCTTGTGTGTTAGTCTGCTGCCTGTGCTCTCCCGGAGTTCTCTATGGATATGGATTTCAAACACCTGGGGCAGGACTATATGAAGGACATTCCTGACCCTTCTCCAGAGGAGTAAGAGGCAGGGCATTCGTTTGCATCCAATAGGAAAACTGGGGAAGGGGACTAAACTGTTTTCTGTTTGAGGTTGGCAAAATCAAGGCTTCAGGTTGTGTACTGTATGTAAACATACTGGGTATCTACAGGTGTACAGAACTTCAGAACTGACAGAATCACATATCAGGAAAGCAGTCTCATGAGAGAATTATTTCTTTGCATCTAATGGAATGGTGTAGCCAAAGCATGCTCCTTAGTACTGTTGTAACAGAAAGAATAAGGTTCTGGATCCCAAGATGAAGTTAAACAGATGAGTTTATTTCATGCAAGGAACAATAAAACCGAAGTATTGTTCCCCGTGCCGGTACAAACTTTTAGGTTATATAGTCTTTCCTTGCTGCTTCGGACGTCATTCGGTGTTATGGTAAAGAGGGGGGTCATGGTATTTGGCCAGTTAAGAGACCCTGGCCAAATGGTCAGTTTAAGATTACGCCCCCAGGGGGTTCCTAGCTTGCATCTGGAATCCTTATCAGTTAACCCCCTTTCCTGCCATAAAACCGTGTTGCTTAGAAGTCTAATTTTCAGGCAGAACTGACTTAAGTTAACCCTTTTTACATCTTGTGTCTTACTTCAGTACGATGTAGTTATAAAAAGTAATCCATTATTAGAAAGTTGTGTATTAATATTAAGGGGTCCAAGCAACCCAGAGACTACCCCCAAGTCTGGAATTCAAACCCAGGACCCAAGACGGCCACCACACTGGGCTCTGGCCAAAGAACATTCATAAACCTTTTCAGCCTTCACTTCCTAATGATGACTGGAAAAGAATTGCATAGACATGGCAGAAGCTGAAGCATCCCAGGGGTTCAAGCTACAAAGTTTCCAGTCATATATGATGTTAAGCAAAAGTGAAAAACTTTCAAAATGCAGCTGAAGGTTCGGGAAGCAATTTCAAGTCTTTTGTGGTGGCGATGACATGGTCTGTTCAGATCTGATTCTGCCTGAACAAATACTCAACACTTAGTGGATGTGAGAGGAGATTCTTGTCTGGACCACATTTCCCAGAATGCTGAGGGAATGGATCTGGTGCCTTTAGTCACCTGACAAACTGGCACAAGACAAATGATTGAGTGAGGATTTCAAAACACGGAGCTCAGACTTCCAA